AAGGCCATTTTGTTGTGTTAAGAGACCAGCTCTTCAGCAGCAGAAGGGAAACTTGATATGACCACTGAAACACTCCGGCTGATCAGAAGTGAATGCAATTTGATTTGTCATGCAGGAAGGTGTAGGAAGCTCTGTGTTCTTCAGCTCCTGACCTTTATGCAGTTCTTTATAATTCAGAGTGCTTCCTCTGTAAATATTCTGCACACTAAAATGAAAAAAAACCCAGCCAAAAAAGCTGTTTCCCTCTTTTCTCGCCATTCGATGCAAGCAAGCTGGCTGCAGTCTGACTCTGCATGTGAGGTGACCTTGGCTGCTCTCCTAGGATCTGTTCGATGTGGCTTTCACTGAGGAGGACCACGTGCTCACTGCCACCTCCCTGTGCTCCTGGGGCACAGACTCACCTGCTGGGACTCCTGTGAGTCACCATATAGGCAGGTTGGGGCAGAATTAAGATATCTTCTTTCCTCCTGCCAGGACCTGGGCTGGGAGCTGGAGCTGGACCCATGGGATCTTCTGCCTGTGGCATCTTCTGCCTGTGGCAGAAGATAGTCCGACACCTCAGCGACTGGTTAAACCAGCTGGGAGCCTGTGGTTTGAGCCAGTGTTGAACAGCCTGTGGGGCCTGAGTAAGGAGGGCTCTGCTTGAAGTCCCTACCAGCCCTTAGTTTTGTGCCACAAAGCTGGATCTTGCTGTCTGCGGGTTCCCTGCTGCTCTCTGCTGGTGCTGGGTACGCAGGATGGCGTGCTTTCAAAAATATACTCCACTTCTGATGTGTAGCTTGCAGCCATCGTATTTTACATTCACCTTCGCCATACTCGAGACGTATTCCCATCTTTACCTAGTTCTGCAGACACAGTTTGCGTGGTGTGTTTGGTTAGTTTAAGGGGTTTGTTTAAAATGCAAACTGGAGCAGAGAATTTCCACTCTGTGATTATCACAGCACTAAAATCCTTTAGGAAACATTGCTATATTCTGTGCTGAACTTCTGATTTTTTTGTTTCATGTGTAAGTCACATTCCCTGCTCAGTTCTGCAGTGTTGATCCTGGGCTGCGATGTCCGGAGGTGTCAGGACCTGGGCTGTGATGTCCAGAGGTGTCAGGAGCCAAGTGCAGTGATGGGTCTGCATAGAAAGCAGCCCTAGGAAAAATGGGCAGTGTCCTCCTCATTGCGAGGAGGAGCTGAGTCTGCTAGAGTGGCAGCTGGGGTTGAACTGAAGTCTTGAGCTACCTGCTGCCCTCTCAGGCTTTTGAGAAACAAGCACTTCACTCCTCCCTGGTAAGTAGAACGGAGGGAACAGAAAGCAGTAGTAGCCAGTAACGCCTGCTTTGTCTTCCCATCAGCTAGCTCCGTGGCCTTCAGTTTCCCTTCTTCTTAATGCTGTGCCTAACCCATGCATGGGATGTGTTTTGAGGCCCTCATTTGAAAACAAGCTTATGAAGGAAAAGTATTAGTTTTTAGTCTCCTCATGGATACGTTTTGATCATGTTATGGACAGTAACATATCAATTGGCCATTTGTTTATCTACCAGAGGAATCGGTGCCTGAAGGGAGGAGAATGTAGGACATTTTGAATCTGAATAGATGAGAAAGCTGCATTAGCTGGTGCAGTTTGATTCTGATCAGTCTCTCTAGTTGCAAAAGGCTGTAATTGTACAGTAATTCACTGCTACCTTATTTCTAAAATCCCTGCAGATGATTCCCACCAGACAGACTGCTTTGGTAAGCAGTTCATTTCAATACCTCACAAAAGCTACAGCAGAGAGCAGGGCGAGGACAAAATGAAGCGGAAGTGATTTACTGAGCAAGCAATGTCATCACTCTGCTGCACATCGTGTCTTTGCAAGATTGAAATTTGTTGGTTGATCTTACCTTACAGAACAAATAAGATTTAAGCGGCAGAGGCACAAAAAGCAGCAGTCCTGGCTCTCTGGGTCCAAGGCACATTTGCAGGCATGCATTAGATCTTTTTCTGTCTCCAGTGGCGTCTGCTTGTTGGCAAGGTAGTGTTCTGGCATGCAGCACATCTCATAAACAGCTACCTGCTCATGGCATCTATTTAGGTAATTGAATCAATTACTTCCAATTTGCTATCTTCCTTATTTATAAAGCCTTCCCTTGTGAATTATGTGAAAATGTAACTTGTTTTTTACTGATAAAAATTCAGATTAGTCTGACTCACACCATGTAGAGCAGTAGCTGGAGTCACTTCTTCTGGAGTCACGGAACTAAAGGAAGCTGCTGTGCTGCGGTTTTATAGAAAAGTAGGTATGTGAGCACAAGTGTCAGAGTATGCGTGCACGGGTGCACTCCAGGGAGAGCTCTGCAATAGCTGCTAAACAGAAAGACGGGAAGAATGACGTTGTTACAATCTCAAGGGCAGCAAAGTGAAACTCTGTAATTCCCACAGGGCAAAAACTCTTGGCTCTGTTATCAGCCCAGATTAAATCCGTGGGTGTCCAGTCGCTTACAGTTAAGTCAACGTTTGCCTGTTGCTCAGACAAGCACTCTTCCTAGCTGAGTTTGTGTTCATGGCACAGAATTCTCTTTGGCTTTAAAACTTTAATAACAAATTATATTTTAGAAAAGCAGTGCAGCTTCTGTACAAGGAAAGCCATATTGCTTGAAGCCATTTGATTTCAGAATTTAAAATTTCCCTTTTTCTCTCTATTTTAATGTTAGCACTGAGGTGTTTGCTAATGGGAGAACCAGCGTATCATTAGATATTCTGCCTGACTCTTCTTGCACCCAGTTTTGCCACCACCCAAAACATAGGAGCAAGCAGCAGCCTGCCCTGGCTAGCTTGAGGAGTTCACTGCCTCAGGAGGTGATCAGATCACTTCTCTTTCAGGATCCTCCTGTCTTCTTGGGAATGAGAAGAAAAAAAAAAAGGGCACGTGTTAAACACCAGAGAGAAGACACAGAACAAGTTGCACCTCGTTTCAAAACTCTTTCTGCAGGCTTTGGAACTCTCTACTGAGTTAAAAGGACCAATCCCCAAAAGACATGAGAAAAGCTTGCTGAGAGAGCATTTCTGGAAGGGAGCAACCCTACACGGAGAGGATGCACTGCAGGCTGCCTGGATGCTAGGAGTACTGCACTATCTCTTCTGCATGGAGGGGTGGATGAACATGAGAGACTGCAGCGGCTGTCATGCCAAGGCCTGGGAATACGTACATTGCTTTGGGCAGTGCTAGTGGGAAACCCAGGCTCAGATAAACTCCGTCAGTACACCTGTGCTACAGCAGGGTGGGTTTTTATTTGCACATAGCGCAAGAGGACTCATCTGGCAGTAGAGCTCATGAGCAAGTACCACCATACAGATCGCAGATAATAATACAGGCTTCTTAAGTTCTAACTGTTGTCTGAATTTCCTGCTGGCACAGTGAAACCTCAGGCATCAAAATGCGATGGTGTGGGAGCCAGGGTGTGCCCTGGGCGTAGAGCCCCATCTGTGATGCCACTGACAGAGCCTGAAGAGCAGCAGGCACTGTGGTACTCCACTCGGCTGTGGAGTGCATGTGGTGGACAGGGAAGAGCAAGGGGCATTGCTCCGTAGCAGCTGGCAGGTTTGACTGGGTGTATCAGTGCTGCTGATTTGGAAAACTAAATACTTCATGCAAAAAGTATAAAAACTTAGGTCAGCAGTTTTTGTGCTCAGCAGACTTATTTCAACCATTCTAGTCTGACTAAATGCCATAAGAACTGCCATAGACCTCAACTTTTGAGGCTGCCTTCATGATTTTAAAACATTTTTTGAAGAATACTGGCTTCGCAAGATAAGGACAAGTAACAAAATCTATAATTTAAGAACACCTATTCCTTATTTCACACACTTTGCATAAGTGGTAGCTTGCATTTCCCACGTGTCTGCGCATCAGTTTGAGGTGGCTTGGTTTGCTTGCTGCCGTGTGATTTCACGAAAGACACCAAGGCAGAGCAGGAACCAGAGGATTCATGAGTAGGACAAGGTCACAAAGAAGTTGGAAGGGAGATAAGATGGAGCTGTGTAAAAGCACAGGGACATACGATTTAGGTGTAAAGCAAGATATACTCAACCCCAGAGGAGACTGGGTCTTTCTTTGCTCCATTTTTCTGAAAGCTCCTTGTTTCACCCAGTATTCATCACAGCTTTTGAAGGGCCAACAAGCTACAGTGGTAGACAATGGGTAGGCACGTTCTTGCCGTAAAACAGTAAGGCAGTTCCTCCTGCAGAGCTCCTCACTGCGGAGACAAAAGCCTTTGTTCCTTACATCAGCTGGATGTCTTTCGTTATCTGAACCTATCCCCTGTGTAATTGCACTAATTAATACCGTTGCAAACCTCTTGATGTTTCTCATTTACGGAACAGTTACCTTGCATCTCACTTTGATGAGGTGAGGGTGAATCTGCTGTGCATGACTCGATTTAACTAGTCGATTCCTCTGTTAGCAACCAACTGTTAAGAGATGAAGTATGAAGTCAGCACGTGTACCAAAACACCAGCCCTGACTGAGACCCCGCACTGAAATCAGTGTGCCCTACCTAGGTTTGTCTGTGCTTGGAGCTCCTGTGGGCGTAACAAACACAGGGAGAGACAAGAGAAAACTCTGAGGAAATCAGAAGAGGGAGTTGGTCCTGATTACGTTGATGACAGCTCTTTATCAACTCGTTTCTCATAGCCTTGCAGCCGTCAGCATCAAAACTCTGCAGGCTGTTTTCAGCTGACGTAGATGTCTCCCGCTTCTCCTGAAAACTGAAGGATTATTCCTGTAGTAATGAAATAAAAAACACTGACGTCAGCGTTCCAGACTTTCACCAGGAATATGGCTGCAGTCCAGTTTACAAATCTGCCTTCTGAGTGACTTCCTGGAAGCCAACAGAGTTGCTCTAGCTTTAAGGCTGTCTCAAACTTATTATTTCAGCACATCTATGGCCTTTTTCTCATAATGATTTGAAGTGATGGCATGTAGATTTCAAGTGTCCACTCAACTTTCTTCGTTGTCTCTTTTTGTTTTAAAGTATATTCGGTGCTGTTCGAACTGGTGCTTATATGCTGTACATTTTGATGACCAAAGGCCTGAAGCAGTCAGTGTGTGACCAGGGTTTTTACAATGGACCTGTCAGCAAATTCTGGGCATATGCGTTTGTGCTAAGCAAAGCACCTGAACTAGGTAAGTACTCTTCCTCCCTTTCTCTCACTATGCATATTTAGAGCAGAAATGTCTGTGCTGGAAGCACAAGAAGGGTCTCAGTGCTGTCAAAATCTTGTTTTAGTCTTAGAAAAACTGAGTAAACAAAACCAACCCCAAACTCTGCATGTTTTGGTCTCTGGAGATTAAGTCCAGCTTGGCTGAAGTTAGAGCAGTGTGCAGTTGAATAAGACCATTCCAGGCCCAGGAATAAACTGCAGTGATTGTATACAGCAGGGCAGTCAAGAGATAAGAGCAATCTGGTCCATCCTCTTCCTTAGCTACTCATAGGCAAACACAAGTAGCGTAATGTGCAGTCGCTCACCCCGTGGGTACAGAAGTGAAGGGTGGGCTACAGCAGCTCTGGCAGCAAGCAGCTTTGAGCCAGGTTCTGCCTCCATTCTGCAGCATTCGTCCTTAAATGCATATATATGTGTACAATCATGAGCAGTAACGTGTTTCCTTCCTAAACATTGAAAGCTGTGGCTCTTTGCTTTTTCCAAGTAGGAATCAATTCCCCGTAATATCACTAGATTTTCTAGTCCTGATTCTTATAAAATCCTGTCTCTCCAGCAACTTTTTGGGCAAGGATACTTATGACATATATGCCAAAGCCAGCTTAATAGCCACTGCATGTGTTCTCATCCCTTATTAGTGGGTTTATTAGTGTAAGAAAGGATTGTTCTAACTGGAAGGAGGAGGTAGCGATTTAGCAGGCTCCAGCTTTCATTTTGGAAGATGCCCTTACTAAACTTCAAAGGGTTGCAGTACTCACTGTGTTCAGGTGTGCAGCAAAAATAAGTCTTTACCTTTCAGCAGAGGATTTGATTCAGCAAATTACAGGACAGCAATTCATCAGCATAAAAACCGGGAAGAGACAGACACCAGTTGCCTTGCTGTGTCAGAAGCCTTTGGTTTCCTGCTGCTTAAATTACTGCAAAACCATGGAAATTTAGTTGTTAAAACTGGAAAACGTCAGCTAGAACTGCACAGCAACAGCAAATTGAACGTATGATTACTTATTAAAATGTGAGTCAACATCTTGCAGCTAATGAAGTAAACAGTAGCATTGTGGCTCATTAAAGACCTTGTGCAGACTATGCAGTTTTGGTTCCACCCATCACAAATATTCATAATTTGGATTTCCTGGGATACATATACGTAGCAATAAGTCCCCAGATTCAAATCTCAGGGATCTTTTTGGAAACACTGTGTCTATAACAATAGAAAACAAGTAGCATCCATATATACACATATCTAATTGAGATGCTCAGTGCAATCAGGAGAAGCAGAAGGCAGAAAAAGGCAGGGAAGAGTGAGAAGATCTACTTTTCTACAACAGCAACAACTCAAAAGGTTCTACTGAGTTTAACTAGGTTCAGTTTGTAGGTAGGCATTTGAATCGGAGGACACTGTGCTTCTTCCTGCTCAGGTTTTCTGCTCTCTGTCAAGCTGCGTTTCTCTTCTACTCATGGTATGTAATGGAAAATCTAACAGTCACAGATGATACACATATATCCACCTACCTCACCTCAGACTTTCATGGATTGTGTTTGTAGCAAAGGGCTGCCAAGTAGACTGATGGAATTTTCAAGACGGGTTATCCACACAGGAAAAAGTGGATATACTGGTTTTCCAAAGATTGCGTACAGATTAGGAGCCAAGCTGGCTCTCAGATCAGACAGGCTTTCAGATCTAGCGCTGAGGTGGTTTTTCATGCTCCAAAATAGTGTATACTCCAGCAATAGCAAAGGGAAGAGAGCACTGCAGTAGTTACGGAATTGTTCAATATATTTCTAATTTCCTCCCCTCCTTTTGTTTTTTTTTTCTTTTTGTGTTTTTTTTGTTACAGGTGATACAATATTCATTATTCTTAGGAAACAGAAGCTCATCTTCTTACACTGGTACCATCACATTACTGTGTTACTTTATTCTTGGTATTCCTACAAGGACATGGTGGCTGGCGGTGGCTGGTTCATGACCATGAACTATGGAGTACACGCCGTTATGTACTCTTACTATGCCTTGCGGGCTGCTGGCTTCAGAGTCTCACGCAAGTTTGCCATGTTCATCACCTTGTCGCAGATCACTCAGATGTTGATCGGTTGCGTGATCAATTACCTGGTCTTCTCCTGGATGCAGCAGGGCCAGTGCCATTCCCACGTGCAGAACATCATCTGGTCCTCTCTCATGTACCTCAGCTACTTTGTGCTCTTTTGCCATTTTTTCTTTGAGGCCTATATTGGCAAAACCAGAAAAGAAAGGAAGGTTGACTAGTGGTAGAAACGAGAAGCCATAGCTCAGGGTCAACAAGAAAAATAAAACTATAAGAAAAGAAAATGGCACAAGGGAACACACGTATGGTGCAGCTAAAACTTGGCAGCTTAGGGAAAGTTAGCTTGGTTTAACCCAGTAAGTTTATGATCCTATCATGGTGAGGACTCACTGAATTCTACTCTATCTCAAAGGACTGCTGATGAAAGACAACTTCCTTCTCGTACCTGTCTACTCTAGAAAAGAAAGGAGAAAAGAAAGAAGAGAAAAAGAAAAGAAAAAATGAAAGAAAAAAGAGAAGAAAAGAAAAGAGAAAAGGAACAATCTTGAGGCGAATAAAAAACGTACGTCAAATAAGCAGTGTGTTTCCCCAGGATGGAGCAAAGACTTTTGTGTAAAAAAAAAAAAAAAGTTTCTAAATCCTTTCTAATAATTTTTCGGCGTTAAACTTGAACAAAACAAAGCAGAGAAGTGACAAAAAAAAAATCTGTCTATGATAATAATAAGATTGCAAAATCAAAAGTTTGATACCTTTCACCAAAATGAAACCCAAAAGGATGTTTCCTGCAGGGAAAGTGGCTGAACTCCACACTGTGGTCATGAATGGAAAAGAAGAGATTGATTTCTCCGCTATGTATTCTGCCAGGGGAGCAGATCTGGGACGCAGAGCCGCCTCCCTCAGAAGGTGGAATGGAGCAGTACTTTTACAAGAGTTTAATGTGAAAAGATGCACTGTTGCAATACGTATCTCAGAGAGTGCATTTTCCAAGTGCATTTTTCAGTTAAAGGCAAGGAATTTCTGCAGCAGGATAAGTCATAGAGGGTTAAATCAATCAATGTTTGCTAAATTACCAGGGGCCAATAGCAGAGGGATGTTCAGGAAGGAGAGGGAGACAACTCCCCTCACGTTTTTTTTTAGGATTTATCCATTAATCTCAATTAAACCCGTAGTGACACTGAATTAAACCGGGGAAATCGGAAGAAATCCTAGTTAGCAAGAAGAGAGTGATATATCTGCCCACTGTTTTCAGGACAGAGCCCTGTGGTACAATATGGATTCTATATTTTTGTGGACACCAGGGTACCTGCCTGGGTGGGACGAGGTGGCAGGTCTGCGCGACATTGGGTAACACTGTGCTCCTGCATCTGCCTCCTGGGCAGTGCAAAGATGTTCAAAGTGCCCTCCTCTGGTCATGTGGAGATACTACTACAAAACATACTTGGAATAGGTTTTTCTTGAGATTTGTATAGAAAAATCAGTCTAAACGGAGTCATTTTGCTGCAACAGCTTAACTCTAAAGTTCAGAGAGAATTATCCTTCATTAAATATATATATATAGCTCTCTGCAGAATCTGTACTGTGACGTCAGACTGACCGCTTAAGACACTTTCTTCCCTGAAGTCAGCTACAGATACAAGGAGAAACATAATTCACTCTGAACCTTAGAGAGTTAGCTGAGAACAGCCATATTCTTTCAAAGAGAAGTAGATTGCATTATCTGTGATATTTCAGTCCTTACAAAGCCAAATAAAATGTGTAAAAGTTCCTAGTATTTCAAAGACGCAAGTATGTAAACTTGATGTTAAATGTGTTAATGTAGTATTCTAAATTGTATCAGTTAGGTAGTTTAACTAAATTAGAAGAACTAGATCAAGAAAATAGGGGCTGCTGTTCTGCATAGGATATACACACACCTATAACTACACCCATATACACATTCTGTAAATTGTCAACAAGAAAAAAAGCCCAGTGGCAGAGAATCACACCTCCTGGCTAATGCAAAAGATTGTCATTATCTTTCTTGCTTTAATTTGAGATTGTATGGTACAAAGGTGTTTTTTTTTTAATTATGATTTTTAGCTTTAATTGTGCTGTCGTTCATGAACAGAGCTGCTTTAGTATCCTGTTAATAGATGACAAGGGCTTTCGGTGTCTCATTATATACAAAAGAAAAACAAATAAAGTTACATTCCATGTTATGTGAATGGTCTTACAAATCAAAAAGCCTTCGAAGGCTGAAATCATAATTATAACAAGCAGAAAATGAGTTTACATTTGTGTTATTTAAGTTACTGATGTGCTGACGTTATTTTATGGTACACAACAAATAGCAAAATGTGATACTCAGTAATGAAGCTGTGATATTCTTTAATAGGACTACTGTATACATGGAAATAATAGACAAAACCAATTAAATGTGTAAACCACTTTGTTAAACAGCTTGGGAGTAGATAATTATAATGCTGAATAAGCCTTTTTCCTCATGCTTGATTTTGCCCTGGCTAAGCAGCAGGTTCAGAAGACCGATTAAAAGTGGAAAAGGCAAAATTAAAGTAGACTGCAATTAGATGAGAAACGTTGGTAGAAGCCCACCATCGTGCCATTTAGACCCTCAGTCAGTCCTGTGTGTCTTAGGTCTCTCAAATAAAGCGAGAGAGGGTGGAAGTGGTCCGACACCTAGAGCTGAAGCTGGAGCAGAAATCTGGGACCCTGTGAAGGCAGTAGAGGCTTTACTCTGCTTTAGGCAGAGCCGGTGTGTCCGGCTGCCTTTTATCTGAGCAGTCAGGAAGGAACCGCACACACCTCCCGCTAATTTGAGGCTTACGGCTAATGACTTAAAAGCCCCGTAAACTTCATCAACAAGAAGCGATGCCACAGCAAGGCAAGGAGTTGCAGCCTGTGTTGGAAACAGGGTGGGTTGCAACCAGCCTACCGTGTTTCATACACAGCTTTCCTTAATTGCCAAAGGGGGAAAACCCCTCACCTGTGCATGCTGGAAGGCCACGCTGGCAGTGCCGGCACTGACTTCAGCGGAGCAAGAATCTCCCCCGCTCCGACCCCATCGTCCCGTAGCCCTGGCGGGTACCTCTGCACGGTCCTCGAGGTGCCCCGCGCCATGGCAGCCGGGGCTGTCCCCCTCGCTGCGCAGCCCGTGAAGGGGCTCAGCGCACAGCGCACGGACC